CACAACACTAGGTCTCCCCAAACTTATGGGGACTTCCCAGCCTCCAGAGCAAGCAGACCACCTAAACTTGTAGAATGGTCTGACACTCCACACAATCCAAAATAAACATAGCACCGGGTCTCCCCAAACTTATGGGGACCTCCCACCCTTGATAACCCAGTCAAACCTCGCGCAAAACTGCTTCCCATCCTGCCCTTTCCCAGATGCAATCTCTTTTTACAATCTGCTTTCACACAATCAACAAAAGCTGAAACTGAGATTGCACACACATTCCTTTACTTAATCTGGTTTAAGTCTTGAAAGTCAAACCAAAAAGTCAAAGTAGGGATGCATGCCGTATACTCAGTCAAAACGCAACAAGCGGTACAGATAGGGGTTATAATTTGGGTTTATAGCGGGAAAGCAATGGTTACCTCTCAATTCCCTGCCAACTCCCCTGCCGGATCTCACTGCCCTGATGGCGGACTACGCTATGGCCAGTTTAATAGTGCAATGGGACAGAGGGTGCGGCCTGCTGGCCAATTTGAAGCCCGGGCCTAGCCGAAACGGCTTGGATGCAGATCTTGGTGGTATGTAGCAAATATCTGTAAGAGACATTTGGAGCCCGGAGTGGAAAATAGTCCTATGGGAACAGCCATTGTGGCAGCCTCCCACTGGTGCCCTGTCAGCTCAGGTATAGCTCGCCATTTGGCGGCCCCCGACGGGCGTACTTACACTCGACCCTTTCGCTACTGATGGTGGGCGACGGACTGCGCCCCCAGCAAGCCCTGCCTCCTGGTGGGCTCGGCTCCCACCGGCTCATATGCATGTTGAACTCCTTGGTCCGTGTTTCCAAATGGCGAGGCCGAGGAATTTCGTCGGCGTCTCGAACACAAAGAGTCCGAACGGACCCGTCTAGAGATGTGCATACTCAAGGTCCTTGACTGTCGTAACGGCCACTCAATCCGGCACCACGTCCAAACCAAATGGGCGTCGAGGCATATATAAAAAGAAGAAATATTAATAATACGACGTAAAAATGATTTACTTAGCGAAAATGTCACCACCGATCGGACGCCGCCGATGGCAAAACCAAGGGGGATGGCCCCGCTGGGCCCTTCCCGCCGCTCTGATGTTCCCTCGTCGTAGCCGCTCGACCTCGAACCCTGAATCTCCTTGACAAAAGTCTGATACTGTAACCAATAGCGATAAACCCAGGGCTGGGTTTAGCTCTGACGGAAGCCTAAATAAACGGACACCGTGCGACGTGCCAATCTACCGAAACGTTTTAACCCCGCACATCGGCCTATCGACCGAGCTGTCGACCGCCAACCTTCGCGCCCACCGCGCGACCGTACCGAATCATGCTGCCGTCGACGTCGTCCTCCGTATGCATGCGCAGATCACTGGTAAATGCACCAATCAAAGAACAAAACCTTTGTAATCCTAGTTTAATCAGAAATAAATAATAAAAAACATCCGGCTGGCGATAACGCCGACTCTTCAATCATCAACAAAATAAAAAAAAATCTCGCGCGCCTCAAGTCTGCGCGCCCACACACTCTTTATTATAGTCAACCATCAGCCGCATAAGCAACGAAGACTGCCGTGACTCGCGCGGTATATTCAAACTTTAAACTAAACTTATTTTCTGTCGCTGACAAAAACCAGGGCGGATACCCTTGTAAGGGTATTCGCGCCGACAACTTACCGAACCATATTAAACGACGTTCCCGTCGCTTCGCCAAATCAGAAGTTATAAATTCATTCAATTCCAAATGATGACGAGAAAGGAACCAATCAAATTAGCCGATAGACTCAAGTTAGAGGCCTCCAACAATCTGTGTCCACACAACTGTATGCCGCCAGGGTTTCAACCTGGGTCTCCATTGTCCTCACACTAGGACTCCGGTGTATTACGCGTCAATACTGCAACATAAGTTCCAAAGGCCTCCTCAAACCGTCCTCTCCCCTTCGTCCTTGACAAATGTCAGCTTCTCGTTGAGTGCCCCTGTTAGACTCTTCCTCGTAAGCAGAGCCCTCCCCAGGGACGCAGACCCTAAATGAGACCTTAGAAGACATCATCTCGCCTTCCTCCCAAAATCCTCACAATCAAAAGCATATGTATATAGATACTTAAATCTCATCTCGGCTCTTTCTGCAGTCTAGTATAGAAATGCTATATCTCCATCTTGACCCACCGTAGTCTGGTTGATCGAGCCAGATCTACAGCCTACCGCATTGTTATCTTAACGACAGTTCCTTCGCTGGTTACGCAACGATAGGTTTTCTCCTGGTAAGCACTCAATCAGGACTCTAAAAAAGACTCAACTCATATCCCCCGCCATCCCATCGGAGTATTTCCCTGAGGCGTGCATAACCCCTTAAACTCTTACCCCTTTGGTAGACGAGGGTCCGCTGTCAGGTTGTGCTGGCAAGCAGCCATCCACTAGGGGTTGCACCCTAGAGGTGCTATCCTTTATCGTCTAGCTTGGTCTTCCTTAAAATACCCCAGGATTAGCACAAGTGTCCGGGCGGTGTGTCACAACAAACTACAGGCCCACTGTTGGACTACGCAGGGGTTTGTCTCACTTAAAGGCGTTTACCAGCTCCCTATGAGACAACATAGAAAGCACGACACCCTTCTCACAATCATAAACTGAACTACCGCCAGGCTCACTTAGGCCGTGGCCCCTTGATTTGATCTTAGACAGTAAACCACACATCCCGATGACATAGACCAAATGCACTGCTTTGAGACACGCTCAATACCATTCAAACAAATTTTTTGGTTCTTCTCGTCAGACTTTATCAGTTCAAACTTGTCTTACCATGCCCTTAAATCCATTAACCACCTTTCATACGAAGGAGGTCGCTCATCAATGGGTCTCCCAGCCATCCCTCTCTTTCTAGGATAAGCTATCACGCGACTCTTTTTAAAACAGCTTCCTTTTGTAGATGAGTCTTCCAATAAACAACACTACCACCTTCCTTAATCTGAAGGGGTCTCAACCATAAAACGACTCAAACCGAGGGACCTACTTATGGGTCCTCTCGACAACTCAACCATGAAACAACTCAAACTGAGGGACCTGCTTATGGGCCCTCTTCGCAACTCAACCGTAAAACATCCAGCATGGTAAGTATTCGAGTCTCAGAGACTCGCAAAATCCCTTAGGATTCTCACACTTCTGTCACACAACAACTGCACTACCTCTCCTTATACTCGACCCTATCACCCGTCCGTGGGCAGATCGAACGAGTATACTAGAGAGTAGACAGTCCACATCTATCCATTCTCACAATTCCATGGCACACAAGGTGCCTCTTATATATTTTTCCACACAAAATCACCATTCATCAGGATAAAATCCACACATATGAGAGTGACGACATTCCAACTCAGACACCCTCAGGGGTACAACATCCCAACTTAGGCGAACAAATATAGTCTTGAATTACTCATATACACTTAGTCGAATACTCTTGACTCAAGTTGACACCAATATCACACAAAGGATGCCCCCCCTTCTTGGCCAGAGCTTTTAAACTAAGGGAGGTCCACATAGGGTGTAATCGTACCCCTCACCTGTCGAAAGAATCTGTATAACTCAAGACATACCTAAATTTTGAATGACCCAAGGCCTATCATGCCTCGATGGGCTGTAAGTTTACAACAACCTCGAGTCAAAGCGCTGCTCATACTCTTTCCTTATATCTCGTCGCAGCACCCTCGAGGCCTTAAAGCCACGAGAATTCAAACACAAATCCATGCATACCCTGTTTACAAGCGCATGGGTACGTATACCTTTTTAATTCAGGGTAGTACGGCCAAGAGCGAACTCAACCCCCAAGCACAATCATTTTACTTCGAACCTTTGGGTGATATCCTTAAAGTACATGCCTAAGGGAGCCAACTTCCATGATCAAGCTAAATCAGTGCTCCTTAGCCCAAATCACATCCTCACACGGTCTCTTAGCACAACGTATTTCCTACACTCATGGCCCACTCTTACATTTTGATTGCGCTATAGCCATCCTACCCGTAAGCAGTCATAAGAACCTAGGAGACACTTACCCCATCTACCTTAAGGTCTCTTTAGGGTCCCATATACACTCACAACACCTTAGTGTATACACCCTTCCCAACTTATTTAATATACAGTCAGATCCTTGTTGGTTAAAATACGAGGTCTGGACCACACAGTCAACAATCGCGCTAACCTACTTCCACATTCACATATATAAGATTGAATTTATTATAGTAAACCAACCCAAAGCGGTCCAGGACTGTTCCTTGACTGATTGCCCCTCGGCTCACGAGTTAGAGTCTTCTCTTCCCTCACACTACTATATTCTCTCTAACCCCACCTCCTTTCATCACCTTTTACACCTTTCAACCACCCTATTCTCCCTTTTGCATTTCCTTGGCCTCCTTTCCTACCCGACTACCGTTCAACTGCTGCTTGTCATGCCTTTTTCTCCCCCACATCCCCCTTGTGGTTCTGCTGGCGTCCATTGCGCCCTCCAGTGCCTCCTCTGCCGCTACCTCGTCCTCTATTGCTGCGCCTTCCATCCCCGCGGCTTCTTCCAGCTTCCCGCCTCTGGCTTTCTGCACCGGCCATGTCGCCTTGTGGCACCCGCTGTGTCGGCGGTTGCAACAGCCCCATAGGCAGAGTTGGCCGAATCTGGACTGCAGGAGGCCTAGGCGGTATCATACCTATTTGTGGGCCCAAACAACTGCCTTGCATCCAGGGCAGACATGAATTATATATAGGCCTCAGTCCCACTTGACCGTGTGGTGTCCACGACCCGTATAATGCCCGCTCAGTCGGCGGAGGCCCGTCCTGTGCTGGTTTGCCTCCCAATTCTTGCGGGGTGGACCCTACCTGTCACATGCCTTGCCCCTTTCAAGTACCTTGGCCTCCCTGGGCCCGATTCCTCGCCTTCCGCTGAGCCTTCGTCAATTTGGGAGGTTCAGACCCCCCTTTTTCGCCTGTCACCCCCTTTTCTTTACATCTCTGAGGGGCATGGCCAACTCTCCCACAATGATTACACACTACTTTCGCTCAGTGCTTGCCACCCCTTATTCCTTTGCTCCTTCCGACTCGCAGCTGAGGATGCTTCCACGTTAATGAGCCCTCTCTTCGGATCAGGCGCAATGACACGCAAGGCCATACTAGATTCCCACTCCTCCTTTATCTCAATGAACCCCTCGCCTTCGCCTCTTTCCGGGGCGCAGGCTCGCCCCTTCGAGGCTCCCTTGTGGAGTAACTTCTGATGATCTTCCCTTGCCTCTGCCTCATCCTGCCCAGCCGGCCCACTCGATGCTCCTTCAGAGGCCTTCATCTTGCCACGCCTGGCTTCTTCCAATCGCGTCAACCTCTCTTCTAACATCCCAACTTGCCTCTGTATACCACTCAACTCTCCTTGTGTTGACGTAACCCCAGCTGGTTGCTCAAGGCCTTCACCAAATTGGCCTTCCGCTCCATCCTCTGGGAATCTCAACTTCAGAGAACTTCCCAGCTCATCCCAGGTCCGCGACTTTATCATAAGGGTATACACCTCCTCACTCAACTCTTCGCAGACAAACAGTGGAAACATGCTCCACATCGCCTTCTCGTCCCACCCCTTTGTGAGACTGAAGTCATGATAGCCGCATAGGAAGGCAGACAGATTTCTTCCCTGAAACAATAGGGCGCGAAGTTCTGGGGGCATCGAGTCGCTCACTGACTCGCACAGTAGCACTTTACTGAGGCACGCGCTCCTCCAGAGTAGGATTTTGGCGAAACCACTTTCTTCAGCCATGATGCTGGTACCGGCCTGACACATACGACAAGTAATCGATCATCAGGTTGTAACGCCAAAAACTCGAACCAAAGGCTAGTAGAGATGACCAATGCTCAACTCACACCACCCCTCTTTCCATCCACGCCATCTGACCTTAACTTTAGCCAGCGGGTCCTATAGACAATATACACCTCACATCGGCAGGGCCCTCAAAGTCAGGCTTTGGCGGACAGTCATCAAGGCCACAAGTGTTACTGATCCCCATACTCATATCATAGGCGAGATCCCCCCTTCTACTCTAACCAACCTACCCCTTGGGTAGACACAAGGTTCAAGAGCAAGCCTACCTAGGCTAACTTAGAGTCTCTCAGGATCCGGTATATACACCCATGCACTAAAATACATATATACATGCCTCACGGCCCATTTGGCATACCGTCATGACCCCGCCGACTAAAACATAGGTGTTCAGTCCACACAATCGATTAGTCTACCAACCCTGCTCTCACACCCACCTATGTGCACAAGCCCATAAAGGACACACTCTGACAGGATGCAAAGCCACCCTCTATCGGCCAGCCACTGCACGAACCTCGTCCCAGTCTACAACCTCCCCATCAGGATCATGGGAGCTCGCATAGGCGTCGACCACATTGGCCACGTCCCTGCGTTCTTGGCTGTAGGGCAAAAATCTCTGGTCCAAGTACAACCCATATATCAGCTCGCGCGTGTATCGTGCGTACCCCCTCACAGCGACTTCTGCTGCAACCTCTACCCTTTCCTGTCCCCCCAAACATTCCTCTATCAAAAACTCAGGCAGGCCGATCGTAATGGGGCAGAAGGAAGCCTAAACTCATCGGCACGTTTGACTTCTACATAGGTCACCACTCGCTCTTCCCCTTCATCGACCTTGTCCCTTGCCCATTTTTCCATAGCCCCCTCAGCTACCCTTAGTGGCCTCGCAAGCATGCTCCCGTGTCCAAGTGCCAACTCGACCCCATGCTTGACCCAAAACGAGGAAGATGCGTACAGGGTCACCCTTACGATCGCACAATCTTCATCATCATCAAAACCAGACTCGATCCAGATGAAGATACCCCTGCCTATCAGTGTGCCCCACCAGAAAGAGATATACTCTCCCTCCTTGACTCTCCTCGACAAGGATACCTCGAGTCCTTCTTCCCTTTTAACAGGCAAGGCCACACTGGGATCTTCCTTAGCATAAGGCATCCTGAGTTGCCTTTGCTTTGGTCTGGGTTCTGCCCATCACAAAAACCGTTCAGCATACGCCTTCCGTTACCAACTGACAATGACGTTCCAACATTACTACCCCTTTTTAAGAAGCAATCCAAACACAGAGACTTAATAGACAGCCGTAAGTCAATAATTGGACTTTGAGACACTCATATAAATCCTTGCCGACTAAATAGTTCAAGTATATACTTCAGATACATGGCCCATATAAATATTTCTGACAAGGATAATCATCAACGGAATATAATCATCAAGCACATAGTCTCACACAATCAGACGTCAGGCAAGCTTACTCAGGTGAAATCTGGCATATGCGGATGAGTTCAATATATAACTCAAGAGAAGGGCCCTTAGACAAGAATAGTCTGAAGCCCTTAGCCCCAACCCCATAGATTCAAGCGGATGGTCCAAACCTGAAAAGGTTCAAGCAAAAGTCTAAACACCAATTACAATTCATTGCCCCATCAAAAGTAAGCAAAATAATCGAGGTGTTAGCTTCTTCACAACTACTCCGCCTGCCTCTAGGATCAGATACCCTCCTTTATAGGGACAGACGTCATGCAAATTCACTACTCCCCGTAACCCTCTCTATTGAGGCCTTAACATGGTGCTCACTGCATCTCTTTACTGCCTTATACGCCTAATTCAAACATACCACGCGGGACAGACCTCAAACTTCCATGGCTATACAACTCGAGCAATGACCCAAACTCAAGGATCCCAATCCATACTCATACAGGCTTTGAACATCCTTAGCCTAACTCTCCTCGAAGTCTCTTGATGACTTCTAACATAATAGGCTTCCTTTACTCATCCTATGCCTCGCCCTAAAGCCAAAGTACCCTATTGCATTCTTGACCACTCGGGTAACTCCCCTTAACCATAATGGGTACCTTATTAGGCTAACTCCCTCAACCAACATGCCTAGTCACATTGGCATCATCTCATTTCACCTCAACAATATCAATTATGCAAAACATCGTCCGAGCCAGTCAACTATCAGGGTAAAAAAACAGTACTCAACTCCAACTGCCATTATGTTAGTCAGGGTACGTAAGTGCATAGTCAAAACTTATCCCTCTCGCGTCGTCCTCACTGCACCAACCAAAACCCACTCACACAACCAACCCTCACCCGCTTTCTATCCAACACCTTCAATCAATTAACCATAAAGCCCAAAAACTTATCACTTTGCCTAGTTCTCACATTCCCATACCCGGATGTCATTCCACAAGGGAATACGGCAGGCAACCGTTATCCCCAGCAACGACGCCACCTATCGAGCGCATCGGTCCGGCACCGCGCAAGGCAGCGCGGGACCCTCCCAGCCGCTTCACGCAGCAGTTGGTTTTAATCCTTCGTCGCGAATATACATGAAGCTTCCGCAAGCCGCGCCGGCCGAGTGCACCAGCCATACCTCTCGCGAGCCCCTCCGACAGGATAGAGCCTAGGCGAGGCACGACTTACCTCGAACTTACGGGAACTGTCACCTCTCTTTGGTGGACGTATCCCCGCCGAGCTACCAGTCCACAGTACGAAAGTTGACCAATTGCAATCGCAGAGGTGGACCAGCCTAGGGCGTTTCTCATTCGCTGAAGCATAGGGGGCACGAGCGGTAATACGCCTCTATCGGACCCGCACGCGAACCGACGTCTTGGCGGGCTGAGGTCCCAAGCGCGACTCGGCGTCGGTCGACTAGGACGAATCCCACTCACCACACATACACCACACTACGAACACAAAGGTAAAACACACACTCACACATCAAACAACACGACAACACTCCTAGTCCCTTAGTAGCCATCCCATAACTTTTCGATGTGGAAATCGGATAGGCGTCGCGCGCGAGACTTAGTATAAAACCGCGCGGACGCAGGCCTAACTCATATCGACTCGCAATGCAAGCGTACGCAAGCGGTCGCAATGATGGTGTACTATGTAGTACCCATACTCATGCGATCCTCGTTTATTTCGAGGGTCGTGTTTGACACTCAAGTATCGGTTGACACGCGCCTTGAGGATTGATCTCCCGATGCTAGACAACCGCCAAGTGCGGTTGAAGACCACACCCTCTTCTGCACCCTGCGGGAAGCGGGTGGTACACAGGTTTATCCCTGTGGTGACAACCGTCTCTTATCGCCCTTGAGACCAGCTCCTTTCTCTAGGGCCTGGAGATAAGTCAAGGGGTTTGACTTTGACGGTTGCCACGGAGTACAACGTCCAACTATAAAAATCTCTAAAAAGCAAAGGATAGAAAAGGGGGTCTCCCTTTTCTCTCAAGAGATAATTTGGTTAACCCTTGCGCACGATCGCAGTAAGCTGCGCGAAACACTCAAGACATATGTATTTACATGTAAATAAAGGGTTACTAATATAGGACGATCACTTCTCACAGTCACAGTGGGACTCCTTTCAGCCATATATGTATGTAATCGCAGACAGTCACATCTAGAGTCCGAGCCACAAACATACCTGCAATCACATCAAAAATTCAACAAAAGTCCACGTACTACACGGGGTCAACTTCAACCATTCTCTATGCTCATACCCCTTGCTTTATCCATACAAACCTCACTCTTGTGCAACTCCCCAAAATAAATACTCAGTGCTTTTGTTAAATGGTCATTCAATAAAAAAGCCTTTAGGTTGAGTGGCAAGAGTGGATTGGAGTTGAATCGCAAACCGACGAATCGACAACGGACATGTTATCAGTGATAACAGAAGATGATCCTTGTAGGATCAAACTGAATTTAACCCAAGTCCTGAATCAGTCGATTAAGAGGACCTGTAACACATGACAGGTCAATTCCCAAGCTAAATCTATAAGTCTATGGAGAATAATTCTCCTATCATGATCTCACTCAAAACATCCCAATTAAGTAAGCCTAGGCCTACGTCTAAGCAAGTGTCAAAAGAAAGGTAGACCCTGACAGAATCTCCTCTACATAGAGTGAATTTTCCAAAATCGCCACCTGTTAAAATATAATTTATCCCCTTTGAACTAAGAAAATTTCTGCAGCTTCTCCCGTAGGAAAAATGTCTTTTCAGAATTTATATCAGCCCTAATATGAACACATAAATAGTCTTCGACTTTCCAAAGTCCAATTTTTTGTAACTCTCTGAATTAGCAAAAAATTGGGCAGCGCTCCCTTTAGAAAATGAGGTTTTCCATATTTTTACTAAGCCATATATGAACTTTAGACAAGTTGAACTTTGAAAAGTCAAAAAGTTGACTAACTCCTGGGTTGTCGACCCCCGTCCCCGGGACCCCGCCGGGTTTTTGGGGTTCCGGGGATCGGCACCCGGGATCCCGGCCCCCTGTATGGGAAAAAAAAAAAAAAAAAAAAAAA